GTGGACTGCATGTTTGTGTCTGACCCCCATCCCACCCCCATTCATAGGCTGAAACCCTAATCTGTGGCATGATGGTATTTGGGAATAGGCCTTTGGGAAGTAATGAGGTCATAAGATAATGCTGAGTGAAGTTAGCCAATCCCAAAAAACCAAATGCCGAATGTTTTCTCTGATATAAGGGGGCTGATTCATGGTGGGGTAGGGAGGGGGAGCAGGGGAGGAATAGACCAACTCTAGATAGGGCAGAGGGGTGGGAGGGGAAGGGAGGGGGCAGGGGGTTAGTGAGGGTGGTGGAATGTGATGGATATCATTATCCAAAGTACATGTATGAAGACAGGAATTGGTGTGAATACACTTTGTATACAACCAGAGATATGAAAAATCGTGCTCTATATGTGTAATAAGGATTGTCATGCATTCTGCTGTCATATATGAATAAAAAAAATTAATAAAAGAATAAAAAAAAGAGTAGAGCCCAGATGATGGCATTAGTGCTCTAATATCTACTGTGAGGTCAATACCCCCCCCCCCTCTCTCCTCCCTCTCTCTCTAACCCTGTGAGGATACAGACAGGGGCTGTGCCTGCAGCTTCCTCTGAGACTTCCTAGTCACTGTAAGCACTGTGTGTTCGCTGTTTCTGTAAACACACCCATCCATGGTATTTTTCTTGTAGCAATCCAAATAATCAGACACTCCCCTCAACATCCAGAAAGTCACATGGATCATCCACCCGTAAGAGAGGCTGGGAAATGTGGTCTCCGGCGGCACAACCTTGGCACTAGCTACAATCCAATTACTTTGGATGAATGGAAGAACGAATTTTGGTAGAGAAATGGGTGGTGTCTACCACATAGGGTAGCTGCAGGAGTTCCGCTGAACTCAGGGACAGTAGTTGATGACCGTGTTCCCAGGAACCCTCAGCCCTGCAGGTACAGATCCACTGTCCTGTGCACCAGGGAGCTTGGCCCTGGTCCCCTTGTCGGTGGAAACTGCCTCCTGCTAACATCATTGGCTCCCGGCCAAGGCAAGAAAAAGGGACACTGCCCATCAAGTGACCTACTTCCTGGCTTATGGCAGCCCTTCTCCTGCCACTCGGATGACCCTTTGTTCTGTCTCACACCAAATCCACACCCTGGGCAATTACCCCTGGCAAGACCTAAAACTTTCTTCTTTATGCAGTTTTCCTGAGGGAAACTCAAAAGCAAACAGTTGTACAGAGTCCACAGCCCCTGATGCTGGGACCTCTAGGAAACATCCCCACCTCCCCTTTCCCCAAAAGGAACCAAAGGACCAAGCAGGGGAAAGCTGTCAGACTGGCCTGGGTTACCACTTAACCCAACCGCGACCTGAGTGGTAAAATTTCAGATTCGGTGTGAGGAGGGAGAGTGGAGATGGAGACTCTTGGTCTCCTGGCTGGTGGAGAACCCTGACTGTCCCAGTGCTGACCATCCCCAGGCCATCTTGGTGAAGAACATCACACCTCTGTACAATAGGTGTCCCTTCCCAGAGGCTCCAGGTGGTGGCACATTCACAAAATAAATTAATTCTTTCAATGCGCCAAGGAGAGGGCCTTCCAGGTAACCTTCCAGAGGTGAAATTATTTGTCATGGTGGACTGTCGGGCCTCAAAGAAAAGAGACATGAGCAGGCAAGCGCTTTTAGCAAACAGAAGCCCACAGTTCCCACGGGTGGCCTGGAAGGGCACTCTGCAGGTGGGGCTCAGGAGACCTCCTCTGTCCCTGTCAGTCTTTCCTTTCCCAAAGGTGACCACCCGTATCCTCCAGGTGGAGACCACTCCATCACTAGGAAGCAGGAAGTCCCACCCTGGAGGAGGAAGAGGGAGTAAAAGTGTCCCTGAGCTGGTAGAAGAGGTCCGGGCCTGGCAGAGCTCACTCTGAGGAGCTGGGACACACTCTGCCGCTGCCAGATGGTGTTTATTTCCCTGTAACCCTCCCACTTCCCAGAGCCCTGTAAGGACTGTTAAGCTCAGAAGAAGGTTTGTGCAGTCAGCATGTGAGAGCTCAGAAGTACTGCACAGGCTTTACCTTTTTATTATCAAACTCTTATAATGAATCCCCATGTCCCTGTGCCCAGCTCCAATAATTATTAACATGTTGCTTATCTGGTTTTTTTCTATTGACCTTACAAAAAGAAAAATCTCTTGGCAGAGTGCTCAGTATTTTAAAGCAAAACCCAGACATGACATCATCTCACCTACAAATTAAGTGTTATACAAAAATTATGGGATGCTATTATGCCAGGACCAAACCCCTACACTAGGCCTCAAAAGACCAGACCAAACCAAAATGGAATTACTAGCTGCTAAGTAGGAACTTTTAGGGGCAAGCACCTATGCTTGTGGGAGGGGAAGCAGCTGCCTTTTTAGACTGTTAACATCCTTCAAGTTGCTTTTCTTCAGATTAGGTCCTCCAGAGAAGGCTTCAAGGAATAGGTTTAGACCAGCCAGAAGAATGTAGTCCCTTTTCTAGAGGACCTAGAATAAATTTTGCTCGTTATAATCTAAATTATTATTATTATAATGCTAAACTCTCCACCCAGGAGGTGTTCTTCACTGTTGTCTTTGAATAAGACCCCGATGAAGACGCAAGGTTTGAAATTGCGCATGCGCAGGAAAGCGCCCCCACCATGGTGTCAAGTCTTTCCATTTTGGATATAAGTCTCCTCAGTAAAAGTCCCTTGCTTCCTTTGCTCTGAGAGACACTGCTTTGGGAGTCACCCTACCTGCTCATTCTACTCGCTGCAGGTAATTGACCTTTCTTCACTCTTATTTTCTGGAATTGCTCCTTGGTTTTGCACCACCAAGGGGTGAACCCAACGGGCCACGCCAGAGTCACTGGTGCTAAATGAAGTATGATCAGATGAAACTCCAAGTGAACAGATCCCAAAACAGACCAGTTCTTGAAAACAGGAGATTCCAGTTGACCGAGTTAGAACAATAAGGTCTTTCTGCTTTAATTCTTACACACACACACACACACAAAGTAATCTAAAGTAATTTTATATGTCAACCAAACCATTTTTTCTATTGTTCAATTTCCTTGTTCCTACTTTACAAAACCCACTGTCTGTTCCTGCCTGATGGGAGCGCCCATTCTGTAGAATGGAGGCCACCCTAATCCATGAATCATTTATATATTTTTTTCAATCTGTAACTGAGTTGCAATTTTCTTTTGAACAATTGTTTTATTTAATGGCATTTGAAATATTACAAACATGACAGTTCCTTGTTCAACCACACAAGCTTGGAGTT